TGATAGCCCAGCTTTCTTTGAAAACATTGAGAAAACTTTTCACGATTTAAAAAATTATCATTGTATAATATGTGGCGACTTCAACTTGGTTCTTAATCCTGATTTAGATTACGATAAAAATTACAAACAAATTAACAATCCAAAGGTTTTAAAAACAATAGAGATTTTAGATCTAGTTGATATATTTAGAGAGCAATATCCTAATACAAAAAGATACACATGGCGAAGAAGTAGACCAATAAAACAAGCTAGGCTTAATTAGTTTTTAGTATCTAGAAGTTTAATTCAAAGTGTTAATAATACAAGTGTTGATTCAGGATATGGATCTGACCATTCCTTCCCAAAAATTACATTTAAGTTCAGCGAATTCCAAAAAGGTAAAGGATTATGGAAATTTAATAACTCTCTGTTGCATGACCAGGAATATCTTAACCTTGTAAATAATAATATAGCAACTATAAAAGCTCAATACTGTATCCCCATCTATAATCCTGTATTCATCAACAACATTCCTGATACAGATTTACAACTAGTAATAGATGACCAATTATTTTTAGAAACTTTGTTAATGAAATAAGAGGCAAATCAATTTCTAACTCGTCATATAAAAAAAAGCAAATTAACTTAAGAGAAAATGATCTAATAGATGAAATTCAGAAGCTTGAAAATCAGAATGATATAAATTTAGAAGAGATGAATAGAAAAAAAAAGGAATTAGAAAATATTAGAACACATAGGGTGAAGGGAAGTATAATTAGAGCAAAAGCTTTATGGATAGAGGAAGGGGAAAAACCAACAAATTATTTTTTCAGTTTAGAAAATAGAAATTTTACATCAAAAATTATTCCAAAGTTGCAAAGGGAAAATGGGGAATTAATAACAAAACAAGATGATATTTTAAAAGAAGTAAAAACATTTTTGAAAAATTATACTCAACTGTTGATAACGAAGTTGAAGAAATGAATTTAGATGACTTCCTAGATTTTGATGTGCCAAAATTGAATAAAGTAGAAGCTGACAGTTTGGAAGGACTAATAACACCAGAGGAGGCATCTAAAACCCTTAGAATTATGAAAAATAACAAAAGCCCGGTTCAGACGGATTTACTTCAGAATTTATAAAATGTTTTTGGAAGCAACTTGGAAACATTGTGGTTAGGTCAATAAATTATGGTTATTTAACTGGTCATTTATCTATTACTCAACGTCAAGGCATCATTAATTGTATTCCTAAGGCAAATAAATCAAAATGTTTTATGAAAAATTGGCGGCCTATCTCTCTTTTAAATATTGTGTACAAAATTGCATCTGGATCTATAGCTAGTAGACTTAAATTAGTTTTAGAAAAATTGATAAACTCGGATCAGACAGGTTTCATATCAGGACGTTAATTAGGGGAAAATACTAGGCTCATCTATGACATCATGCAATATGCTGAAGAAAATAATATCCATGGAATGCTATTATTAATTGATTTTGAAAAAGCGTTTAATTCGGTCCCTCGGAAATTTATAGATAAAGTGCTTAAGTACTTCAAATTTGGGAATGATTTGAGCAATTGGGTAAACATACACGCTAATCCTTGTTCTGCAATTAATCAGGGGGGTAACTTATCATCGTTCTTTAATATATAACGGGTCTGTCGCCAAGGCGATCCAATCGCACCTTACATGTTTATACTTTGTGCCGAGATATTGGCAATTCGGATAAGAAATAATAGAAATATTACTGGTATCAATATTGATGACTGTCAGATTCTAAATTCTCAATATGCAGACGACACTTCTTTAATTCGAGATGGAACAGAAAAATCTTTGAAGGGATCTGTTGAGGAACTACATTTGTATGCTAAAATGTCTGGTCTAAAAGTAAATAAAGGTAAAACCCAAATTGTTTGGATAGGTAGCAAAAAGTATAGTACTGATGTACTTCTTCCAGATATGAATTTTCAATGGGGGGTTGACAAGTTTACACTTCTTGGTATTGAATTTAATGTGGATTTACACAGAATTCCTAAAATTAATTTTGATAAAAACTAGTTAAACTTAAATCTTTAATCATGGGATGGAGTAAAAGAAAGCTTACTCCTATTAGGAGAATTAACATAATTAAGTCTTTATTAGTTTCACAGATGAATCATCTTTTTATTTCCTTACCAAATCCAGATCAAAGTTTCATAAAGCAGCTAAACTCAATTCTTTTCAATTTTTTATGGAATGGTAAAAATGACAAAATCAAGCGTAATTATTCAGAATTATTTAGATGGGGGGCTAAAAATGGTAAGCATATTGAGTTTTATTGAATCTCTTAAAATCAGTTGGATCAGAAAGATATTTTGGTCAGAGGGAAAATGGCGTATGATTTTAAAAAAACAAGTTAACTTAAATGTCTTAGCTAATTGTGGTAGTGAGTATTTAATTAAGATTATTGGGACTTATTGTAAAAATATTTTTTGGGAGGATGTTTTTAAGGCATGGTGTAGACTAAGCACTAAAGTAGAAATGTATAGAAAGGAGGATCATTCCTTATTTAAGACACCCATATGGTATAACAAAAACATAACTATTGGTAATAATGACATTTTCTATAGAAATTGGTTCAATAAGGGGATTGTGATTATCAATGATTTAGTTAAAGATATTAGAACTTGTTCCTTTTTCTCTTTCAATGCATTTTGTACTATTCATGGTTCAATAACAAATTATCTTCAGTATCAAGGAGTGATAAAGAGCATAAAGAAATACCTTAAGAATCACAATGTACCCAACAAGATGTTGAGTTACCATGGCATACCATTAAAGTTATATTAAAAAAAAAGTTCTTATTTAAAATGATATCACAGTAACAGGACACAATAAATGGGGAACTGTTTTTGAGTATAATAAGGAAACATGGAAAACAATATATGCTGTTCCATTCAGGGTAACAAATAACACAAAGTTACAATGGTTACAATTTAGAATAAATCATTACATTTTAACAACAAATTCATATTTATTTAAGATTGGACTAATAAATAACCCTCTGTGTGTTTTATGTTTTATGGAAAGGGAGACAATAATTCATATCCTATGGGAGTGCAGTGACGTACAAAGCTTTTTGACTAATTTTGAAAATCTCTTAAATGCACTTGCCATTCCCTTATCAATAAATAAAGAAAATATTATTTTTGGATGTATCGAGCTAGCAGGAATTTATAATAGAATTGACAATGAAATTATTCTTTTTATTAAGCATTATATATACAAAATTAGATGTTTGCATAGCTCACTTAATGTTGTGGCTCTGGTAAATTTGATTAAAGAATATTACAATGTTCAGAAATATATTGCTTATGGAAAAGGGGGAAAATATCTCAATAAGTTTACTAATGAATGGCGAAAATGGATAAAAGTAGTTGAACTTGCCTAAACATTGTTACTCGGAAAGTCTGACATCTCTATCTTTCTGTCTGTGTGTCTGTGTGTCTGTCTGTGTGTCTGTCTCTCTATCTCTCTGCCTGTCTATGTCTGTGTAAATTTTGTGTATGTCAGTATCTGTTGTTTTCTTTAATAGCAATAAAGGAATGTAAAAATTTGATGATGATGATGATGGCTTAGAAGAAACCAATGTGTTTTTTGTTTGTTTTGTATGTGTTTGAATATGCCATATTTATGTAAAATCTTTGAAAAATAAACAATTATAAAAAAAAAAAAAAAAAAAAAGACATCTTAAAATTAAAACTTAAGTTATCGTTACAAAATCAGAATTATACCTATTTATAAATACAAAAATAATTTATTTCATTTTGCTGATTTAGGTGCTGATGTATTATACAACTTTATCTGTTCCGAATAGACCAACTGCTTGTAAAAAACACAAACATCACAAGGTCGGTATTATTCAATATTAAATATTAGCTTATCATCCGGTATGCAAAACTTTATGGGATGTTAATGCTTATTTGATATAAATTATTCCCGCAGAATCGATGAATTATAGAGGATATATATATTAGATGTCAAATTCACAGTTGCGTAATGTGCATTGTTAAATCATTTCCATGAACTTAATAAATATTCAAACACATTTGATATAGTGATAGCGTGGTCTTCGTGGCTCACACATTTATTTTGTTTTCACAGTGAGATGATTCTGAGAATTTAACATGTCAGTCACTATTATTGATTAAGTACTGTAAAGCAATAAGTTTGGATAGAACTAATGTGTATTTCAACATAAACAAGAACGTATTGCTATACGGAACGTACTTGGTTGATAATTACTGAATCACTGTTGCTCATTCTGTGTGATTTAATACGTAGTTGTGAATATTTGAAGAACAATAGCAACGAAAAAGATATGGCAGATGAACTTATCAAAAAGATAATTGACTTCTTACCTTTAATTATTTTAACAGTTTTTTAGGGGCAAAATTTCACTCTTCCTATATGATTCGAGTCCATATTGCAAATTCCAGTTTAAGCAGCAAAACAATTTAGCGGCTGGAAATCGGCATACTTTTTTTCCTAGGGCACAGTTTTGTTAGGGAAAGAAAATAACTGCTGGGGGATAATGGGTTTTCTTTATACACTTGCATTGTTTATCACAATAAAGTATATGCACCTCTTTTATTCCACCAATTAGCGAATGTATACATTTTTGATGCATCTCTTTATGCAGGTTGTTTGCAGTTTCCCATGTGGCCCTTTCTGTCTACGTTGTATTGAATATATGGCATCCCAGTCGACGACAGATGTTCAAATTGAAAATGAGTCAATAGCCTGCGTTAAGTGCACTTCATGCAGAGATATGATCCCAGTTGCATTTCTAGACTATATCCAACAAAAACACGTAAGATCCCTATATTGTTTATTACATATTTATTTTGGTGCAGATGCATTATCGTATGTCTAAATAAATGCAATGATATATGTTTTTATCTCATTTAAGGCCAAAGGAAAAGACATAGAAATAATACCTGAAACGCACTCAAGATGCAAATGTGGAAAGGTAAATGTATTGAGAATTCATTAAGAATATTATTTTTATTTGAGTAGTAAAGGTTGCGAATTCGGTACAGTACTTCACAGCTTGAAAGTGTTTTAAATGGAAAAAAATTTACAATGGTTTTAAATGAAGACTTATTTTGATAATGTTATGGAGTTAAATTATGCCTCCGATTTGAAAAACGAAGACAGTTTTTCTTGTACCAATAAGCTTTTAAAAATTCTTCGATCATTCGTTTGACTTCAATCAAATAAGAAGAAGCTCCTTCTTCTCTAACAACTTTATACAAACAAATAAACGTGTTCAATAAGTCTGTTGGTTTCTCCAAACATAGACGAGAGAGGTAGACTTATTGAGTGAATTTATACCATTTACCATTACCGTCCCCTTTTTCTTATAAAATCGGGTCCCCCTCTTTACGAACCTTAAATACTTCGATGAAATATGCTCAAAGCAGCTTTGGCGCCATGTCAACACATGTATACCGAAGAAGAAAAAAACAGAAACCTCGACCACCCAATAAAAATCTACCTAATTGCCCTGCCGATTCAAATCTCTGTGACTTTGACATTTGGGGGACAAAGGCTCGGCGATCAATAATAAACGACAAAAGAAATTTCTGCAGAGTATATGTATCAAGATTATCTTGAAACACATCCTCCATGAAAGTATGGAACATGATTCAGAGAATAAGTGGTAAATGGAACACATCAACATTTTTTCATCTCATTAACAAAAAAATGTTTTCTCTAGAAAATTTGAAATTGCTGACGAGTATGCCACAATTATTGCTACAAACATCATTGGTTCTTAATCATTCTAAAAGATTCCAGTCATTCAAAAAAGAAAAAAAAAAATCTGAATTTTAAACCATTCAACATGGAAAGCTACAATAATGTTTTTGGTCTACAAGAACTAATTGATTCCCCCGGCAAATCAAACTACATGGCCTCCGGTCCAGATGAAATCCAAAACCAAATTCTAAAACACCCACCTGACTAGTCATTGATATGCCTCCTTTACCAATCACAAAAGCTGGCGAGGACGCTACTGACCCAAACAATTATCGTCCGATTACTCTGACCAGCTGTATCTGCAAAACTTCAGAACGGATGACTAACAACAGAATTGTTTGGTTTCTTGAGTTCAAAGACACAATAATCTCTCTTCAAAGTGGGTTTTGAAACCGAATAGGAACAGTCGATCATCTGATTAGACATTCGTACGAGAAGCCTCCGCCAAGGAAGAACACCTTGTCTGTGTTCTTTTGCCTAGAGAAGGCCCATGATACTTCGAAGCAGTATGGTATCGTGAAAGATATTCATGACATAGGTGTACCTGGAAATCTCCCTAATAATTTTAATTGCCCATCCGACACAGGAAATGGGAGTCATCTATCAGTCATACTTTTTGGTCTGAAAATCAATGACATAGTTAAATCTGTAACAGATCAAAGAACATGCATACCATAGAACGGCAACTTCAATAATGTTAAAAAAATACAAATGTTGGAAGACGAAAACGGTTTAAAAATTTCTATGTCTAAAGCTGCATGCATGCACTTCTGTCAAAAATGAAATTGCATTCGAATCAAAGTTGTTGAGCAAACCAAATTTCTTGGACTGAAATTTGATTCGAAAGTCCCCTTTATTTACATAAAACGCATCTGAAAGTGAGTGTTAAAAAGCGCTAAACATTCTACGAGTCCTCTCTCATACTGATTAAGGTTTAGACCGTGAAATACTTTTGCGACTTTATGGATCACTTATTCGATTAACACTCAATTATATTTCGATGGTCTATGGGTCAGCACGTTGGTCTTATCTGCAGATGTTTGATCCGATCCATAAACAAGGGCTGCGTCTACGCTTGGTGTTTTTCGAACCACACCAGTGAAAAGCCTTTATGTGGAAAGAAATAATCTATTTATGGCAGACAGAAAAAACTAGCGTTACAGTTTGCGACCCAACTCAAATCAAACCCAAAAACGCATGTCTTTAACCAACGCTTCAACCGACATACCTCAATATCTTCGTGCAAATATTAAAAACTTTTGTATCAACATTTGGTGTTTATCCAATTACCTACAGGAGCTCAACATAAATTTGTATAATATAGATAAATACAACATACCGGATGTTCCACCATGGATTATTCAAACACCAGATGTTGTTTTAACATTGTTGCATTGAATAAGCGGTCAATATCGCGTGCACTGTCGAAAGCACACAAATCCTCCTTCCGGGAGTGCATTTTGAGGTTCCCTGCTTATACACAGCCTTTCACTGACGGTTCCATCGAAAAAAGTAGCAAAAGCAAGAGTCTGCTGCCCTGCTCTCCACTCCACCTCGATTCGATTACCACAAGGTTCCTCTATTTTCTCCGCGGTACCACTTAGTTGATAAGGCAATCGTCTGTTCAGACTCAAAGAAACGAGACCCCAAAAACACTCTTATACAAAACTTCTCTATCGTAAAATTGCTGCTATCTCAAAGAAATGTAGAATTATTTTTCTATGGATCCCGAGCCATGTCGGAAAAAAAAGTAACGAAAATGCTGGCAGAGCAGCTAAAAAATGCATTGCACTCACAGCAACCCAATTTCTTACTATCATATGCAGATTTCAAACTCGTTATACGATTCAAAATGAATGGCATCAACGAAAGTCTCTCGAGATCAGCAAAACTTAAATCTGATCTGCCTATGCGAAGAGAATGCAGAGAGGAGGCTGTCTTTTTCTGTTCCGTACTGGTCATACTTATCTCACTCATCCTTATCTGCTTAACAGGGAATATACGGTGGAGCATACATTGATAGCATGTTCATATCTTAGATACATTCGTGATAAATGCTTTCATGAACTCTTTTCTCTTCCGTAGAACTGGAGGAATTATTCAACAATATTTAAGACATTGGCCTGTTTTATAAACTTCCATTAATCTAACTGTATTATTTCACGACATTTAAACATCATGTCTTTTCATATCAATGTTCACACGGTCTTTTTAACTAAATAATGGTATTTTGTTACCTTGCATTTTCTTTTACTTAACCTTTTTCTTGATGATGATTTTATATGACAGACTAATTTCATCTATGAGTTTAATTTTAATTTCTCAAACGTCGCCCCATACTCAAATACAAGTCTGGCCCTAAATGACTATACTTTTCATTATAATGCTTATACGGTTGCCTAGGTTTATCATTGTTACTACCCCAGCTCTCGTCTTTTATGCATCAGAAGAAAAGGTGTAGTAAAGAAAACAAATAAAATAATACATCTTTACAAAGTACTGTCAGCCGATAATAATTTGATTCAGTTGATTGAATTTCTATCATTTAAGGAAAGTTTCCTTCTTACGCTTCCCTGTGGTACATCTCACTGTGAAGATTGCTTCGTGCGAGCAAGAAAAAAAGGAACTGTGTTCACTCTTCAAAGCGAATGTATTCAGTGTCCAAACACAAAATGTGATGATGTTGTTCCTATCACTGCATTGAAATATCATTTCTCTGGAAACGAAAAGGTAATATATGTTTTTTGTGCTTGTTCTCTTATGATTATGGTCAACGGGAAATGAAAATAAAACACTTTGAATATGAATTGGGATCGAACATTTCAACAAGTAAATGTATTCGTAATGTAAAACACATGTCATTGCATTGCTTCACTGTGTAGAGTAAAAGGTGAATGTGTCAGGATTAATTAGAGTGGTGTTGTTGTTTTTTATCAATAAGTGTTTTGACTGGTGCTGCTAACCTTTCCCTTCCCTTCCCTGAGGCATCTAAATGCTTTACAGATTTCAGATAACTGGTTAGGACAAATTGGGCTACAGAGATTCATATCTCAAATTTTAAGGAACCGATTAATCAGTTAATTATTGAACACAATGTCGAGGAAGACATATTTTGGTCTTTGATCCATGAGACGAGACAAAACATTTAGATCATACTATAAGACCAGACTAGACAAGACAAGACCAAACGTTAAGACTGTGCAAATGAGGCCAGATCAGATCAGAACAATATGTGAGAGTAGACCAGAACACAAGACCAAGTTCTGGTAAGACCAACGAGACAAGACCAGATAACAAAATTTAAGAGCAGAACAATGAGAGCAAACTTTGAGATCAGAGTATAACATGTTTTTATATTATGCTAGTAGTTATAGTCTGTATTTTTTGCAGAGTCGTTTGAGTTTTCCGAGCATTTGAGCTTAGGCCTTGAGTAGTTAAAATGTTCAAAAATGACATAACGGTATTCATCAAACATCACATCATCACAATATATTTCATATGGATCTAGTTTCGAATCAATGCTTGGTTTCAGTTTGATTTCGTTTCAATCTTTCATTACACGTGAATACTGTAAAATTGCAAAAAGAAGTTTCACGTATATCTTACCGTTTCTTTTGGAAGTAATTGTGCACCTGTTTTTTTTCTCTCTCTTAAATATCACTTTCAATATGGACAATTTCAGTCGGGCTTTGAGACAGGTACGAGAAGAGGGACGTCAGGATATAAAAAGGCACGCATTGATACACAAGTAACCATTTTCTTATTATTATTTACTTTTTTAATCTTCATAAGAAAAAACATTTTATCGCTAGCTCAACTACTTTCTTAACTGAGTCATAAACCGAACTGCTTATTGCCATTCTTAGACAACTTAAAATAAAATATCATTATCAACAATATTTTATTTATTGAATTTAGGTATTATTTGCACTGCCACTTATGTTCCTCGCTATCCCCGCATTCTTAGTCCATTTCAAATGTCCAATTTGACTATGCGATTTGTACGGGAAAGCCCCATTAAATATAACGCCGATAACTTCACGTGACGATTGCGAACAAGGCAGTATAAATTATAAACACAAGCAGTGATAAAGGGGTCCAAAAAGAAATAGGAATGAGTTTAAGGTTGAACTAATCCAACTTTTCAACCTAGCAATACGATTCTTTCTAAGTCCGTTTTGAAACTGACCCAATCAGATTAGCAGTAAATATTTATCGTCATAAAATAGTTGTACACATGCCAATTTTCAAATGCACAAATCCATGTTGGCATTTCAGCATTTTATAAGAGACAAGTTAATATTTAGTACCAGGATAAGACTGAGGCAGATGGGTATGGGACTACACTCCCCTTTTTAAATGTACACGACCACGGGACAAACTTTTCTTTCAACAGAAATAGTCATGGGAATTGAACGCTTTTTTTCATAAAGTGAATGCGTGCATTGACAAGCTTAAACAATAATAAATGTATTATTATTTATAACTTCTAATATTTCCTTTGGCCACTTTATTCAAGACCATGCAGTACATGCATTCTTGCTTATCCTTTTTAACTTTTTTATACTCTCTAACACTTAGTTAGTAATTTGAGTAGATTGTGTCAGATATAGAACGTGGTTCCATCATATGTTTTCAATAATTTACATGGAGAGCATATTTGTAAATGAAACTGTTTATGATGATATTACTTATTTAATGCAATTATCTATTCTGTTGTAATGGAACATTGACTTTGCAGATAACACAACTCAAGCTTGTGACATTTTTTTTTAATGCCAAAGAACGAGCATTGTTTTGTTTTAATAAAAGATTTTGAATCGGTCCCATCACGGTTGTATATATTGCCTCGTCCCTAAGTCACATAGTCTGACGTAATTCCCATTGTCCAACACAGAAGACATATACTTTTTTGTTAAGTTTTCAATACGCCTTTCGATGCTACATGTATTTGGTAAATTAATTATGTACATCCCTTCAACTCGCAGCTGAAGCTGCAATAGTTTTCATCCACTGACACTTCTACAGAAAGACATTATCTTATAATGAAATGGTGTATTATCCGAATGCGAATCCCAATTGAATTGATGTAGTCCTTTTGATAGATATGCTTAACGAGTAAATCTTGTACATGTTGATAATTGATATGAATATGAGTTTATTTATATCGAATCCAATGAATTTAGACATAACAACGATGCAATTCATATTATCTTTTCAATAGGTCAAATCAAAAACGATGTTTATGAAATTCATTTGCGGTCACTTTATCTGTGTTGAATGCCAATCACCATATGACAACTGTAGCGGCAACAAGCATGAAGTAAATGATGCCGAAGTAAGTAAAAAAATGAAGCACTAAATACGTTAATGTGGTACCATAAACAATGCAGTCCGTCGTGGATAATTGATATTGATTTACAAATACATTTTTGTACCTTTTTAGAAAAATGATTAAGTCAATCCAGTCAGTGACAAACAGTAGATTGTGTCAGATAAAAACTGACATCCAAGGATTTATCCAAGCTCTACATAATACATGGAAAACATTGACCTGTTAACGTTTCGAAATGCTAACTTGGTGCCAACAAGAAGACATACACATGTATACATGTGTGGTCATGCTAATAAGATTCATGACAGGAAAATGTAATTTCTCCCTCATTAGACAGAAATTTACACACACTTTCAGTCAGATAGATATATTACTGTCTTACCCTGGGTTAAAGTCGGGGGGATTCAACTGTCATAATTAATTAAATTATGCAATCAACGTTTACATTTCATGAAAATACCACTTATATTTGATGTGCGAGAAAATGTTAACTCCCCACTTTTAGGGTAGGACCAAAAAAAATCAAAACCCTCGGGATAAGATTCCTAAAATTCTGGCCATAGGCTTAGACAGTTAAGAACCTTACCCTTTTGGTTGGGATTTGTCTATATTACCTCAGGGTGGTAAAAGAATATATTTGTCCCCCAGATGCTTATATATGATGAATGTTAAAATGAAAAGATTGTACGACGATTATTGTATCAAAATTGAACTGCGATTGTTGAACTGTGCATAATACTGACCTATTGGTATCATTGATGTAAGTATCATGAAGATATACCGATTCCCAAAATACTGATATGGCGTTGGTATTAAAAAAAAAAAAAAAATAATCTATTTATAAAGATATGATGTGCGAAATGAGTGTAATATGTATTAATAATGTTGTCATTCGAATAATGTTGATATTCAAATATTTCACGAGTTGTTACGGCTAACAGGTGGTAGCTATTTTATGAAATTTTGTAAAATTATCATCATGACATTCCATCTGTATCAAAGCTGTTCAGCGGTGATAACTTTTATCTTTCCTTTACTTTAAAATCGCACTGTGGATTTCTTTTGCTATTTCCTGCTAATACCAAACTTTCAAATCGGTAGGAGTCTTATTCTGTACGAGTTTTGTCATAGTTATTTTTTGTTCTTATTTCAGTTTTTGGAAGCATATCACGATTTTGGAGGAACAGGTTAGTCATTAAAATCTATTTAAAAGGTAAGGCGGACAAAAGTACAAATCCTATTATTTCATTACGTGAAAGGTTCAGTGAGAAATATTAATCTAGTTTCTTTGGTCTTTGGCTCTATTGACTGATTGTGTTTCAGGTGCAAACGACTCAGAGGGTGCAGCTTGTTCAAGAATGGTATGTATTGGGTCTTGAAAAAAATACATAACAAAAGTTAATGGAATTTTGCAAGATATTGTTGTTATTAACAACCATCTAATTGTATAAGCTTGAATGTTAATTATTAAGTATTGTTAAAAACTTATAAATATGTTTTTATATGTGGTTTATCATGATAATTATGTCGAACTGATTTGAATAGTATTGTTCTCAAGAGTTGTGACTTAAGTGATGATCATCACCAAATAAGGAATATTTCTATTTGTTAAATAAATACAAACATTATCAGTACGACCACAGTACAGTGTATTGCGAGATATCATTCTTTCTGGGGGGTTTTCACAGTAAATATGCCTCACTTAACGGTCGATTCAACATATTATTTTATTTCCACAATAAAGCTTTATCTAACTGATAAGAATGTAAATGAAAATTTTATTCATTCCAGGATGTTGTGACTTGTTACATGTGCACAAAAAAAGGGTCACTCGTCAGTAAATTGAACAAAAGTAAGTGATTTCAGTTTGATCCGTGGTCAATTAAATGAATATAATGCCATAATTTGATACCTAAACGTTTCAATAAACTTTATCTTCATAAAATAAGCCATTATTTTCCCGTCAATGTATACTGGACGCCGTGAATGTACGATTAATTACAATATATGTATTCTTAATGAATCTGTTTTTCATGCAAAACAATCTAGTTCCACCATGTGATAAAAGAAACTTGTTGAAGCTGTAAAGTCAAATGAAATGCGAACCATTATATAAATAAGATATTTGTTATATCTGGATATCTGATTATTTATACAAAGTCATATCTCTTAAATAAACTGTTAATTGCTAATCGCATTTCGTTCAAACCCTACTCGTTTCAGGTAACATTGTGAACGTAATATTATGCAAGGAATATTACACATTTATTTGACTGAAAACATATTGATGTTGCATGTTTGGAATTGGTGTGGGTTTATGTAAATGTGAATATACCTAAAAGACTTAATTAACAATGAAAATTGTGAAACTTTTTTTAATACCGTGCTACATGTACATTGATACCCCATGTATTTATTTTGTTATATTCTTCTTTATTTTGTTGTATTCTTCTTTATTTTGTTGTATTCTTCTTTTCAGTCTACTACGAAAGACCTGTTCCAGGGTCACCACGGCCTAGTGATCTTGGGGTCAGTTTGTCACCTTGTATTTGTTTCAATCCTAGGACTTAGGATTGTATGTCTCAATTTCACTCTTTATATGTTTTAAAGAATAATAATATCAACACACCAAAAAATACAAAACAAAACAACAGAAAATTTCGTTCATTATAAAAATCTTTTGCCTTTATTAATTTCTCATATATCAAGGCCCCGAATTGATGGAAGATTTTTACCTTTGAATTTGGACATCTGATGAAAAAAGGCGATTTTCCACTCTTGTTTTATTTACATGTATGTACGTGAAATTAATATAAAAAGACTTCAGTAGGAGATATTTTCATGAATCGGTTCCAGTTTTCTTCAGATTCTATTTATACTTATGTGACAACATTGCAGGCACTTCCCAACATCGGATTTACATGCTACGCAAACAGTATATTCCAGGTAAATGTATATTTTAAAAGCATCTGCTGCTTTACTTATTGTACTGATGAACATTTCTTGAAATATTATTATGTAAAATGAAGGTTTCATCAGCTAATTTTCATTCCGTGTTAAGAACCACTCCAGTAGGGGTTTTCTTATAAATAAATAATATCAAGATTCCATATTTGGATATCGTTAAAATGAGTCATAGTGTGTAGCGGTTACTAAAATTACTCACCATTTATTTGTATTTTAGTTCATTCACGTTAAATAGCCGTTTTGTTTAAATTGCATAAGTGCTTAGTTTAATTAGTCTGTCATCTTTCAACTTTTCTTGTACACCACATGTGCACATGTTCGTCTGGTGCTAAGACGATCACACGAAGTCGTTCAGTTTCGACTTTCAAATTGTGATTTTGTCCGTGTTTGTTGATATGGTATTTCATTCATGTTCATTTTACTTTTAGATTCTCAACCAAACACCAGAACTAGCAGATTGCCTGAAACAAGTTAATAGAACAATGCCAAAGGTATTTCGCATAGTTTAAGCATGTACATATGATGAGCGGTTAGTATATGTGGTATTTTTGTTTTTTAAATCTTTCGATGATCAAAGTGTAAGTATAAGCTTTGACAAGTAAGAATGTAAGCTTATTCAAAACTAAAATCTTAAAGATTAAACTAACAACAATTTTTATTCATATGTTCTCTTAATGCAGGTTGACTGATTTACAGTAAGAAGTTTTCATTTCAGTAATAATTACCATAACTTTAGTATGCATAAACAATACCTACACCCATCTTTGTAGCCCAAAAACAAAATATTCAAATTTCCTGACCTCTCTGCCGTCACGTAACACATATCACGACAGAGCCACGGAGTCTCTTCTTGCCTCCGGTGGTCCAGTAATATAATTACTCTGCCGTTACTATACGTATACCGTTAATCAGGTTCCTTTGCTTCTCGCCCGATCCTATTAGGGTCTGAGGAGCGGAATGGGTTGCTCTGGCCCATTAAGCAGGTTATCTTCACTCAGTCTCGAGTTTGCTCCGTCAGCCTGGTCTGCCTGGATTCAAAGCCTCCACTACGGTAAGGCACATACTAAAGTTATGGTAATTGTTACTGAAATGAAATTGAGTTTTTTAAAATAAAACCAATTTTCATGATGCAATACTTACCATAACTTTATGGAGTCCCACTCTGTATTCCTCACCTTGCCTCTCATCCTGGCTGCCTTTGGGCTCCATAAAAGGGGTTTGAGATGGGAGATCACTCCGTGGCTCCGTCGTCGTGATATGGGTTACGTGACGGTAGGGAGGTCGGGATATTTGAATATTTTGTTTTTGGGCTACAAATATAGGTGTAGGTATTGTTTATGCATACTTAAGTTATGGTAAGTATTACATCATGAACATTGTTTTTTCCTTAAAAAACCTCAAATTACCCGGATTGTTTTTGTTAAGAGCAATAACTACCATTCCAAACCGCGCTAATTTATGGAGATTGTACATTAACCGTGTTGTACGCTTGCTTTTATTCTACATTAATACTCCTCATTAAAAGCACTGTTATATTTAGTATTTAACACGATCTGTTTTTATGTTTCAGAAAAGTTTATCAGCGTTGCTTCTAAAGATACTAGAAGGCATCACCCACAACCGAGTACATGCTCAGATAGAACGTATTGGAGAGCTCATGCGCAGAGTTATGGAAATGTATGATACTTCTTAATCTTGTAAAGATTATTTTTTTCTCTTTTTTTTCTTGGCTCAAATAATTCTGCAATACAGTTACAGTGCAATGCCGCTATTCGTGTCAGCAATATGGATTATAGTGCATTTAGTAGCTTGGAGTGAGCGACGTGCTATTGTTTTAGAGGGATATTAATTATTCTACACGTATTTGCAATTTAAATTAATATCAGGAGACTTTGAATGTCATGGTAAAACAAACGATCGCATTTTCAGTTTTCTATTGCTAAGCCCCTGCAGATATGTTGGATGGCAATTACCATCCTCCAATAAATCTCTACAACTAGCCATAAATATTGATCCAGCAATTTATTAATATACTATAGTATACTGATTATAGGTATTCAGATTTCCAATCTGTGTTTAAACTCCGACTCCCGATACACAAACACATTCCCAAAATGAGACAGTCACTTGAGCACTGCGACAACGTAATTAACGTACACTTAGACACTCGAGCCGTAACTTTTGATCAACCTTCTCCGCAAGGTTTTGGTTTGTTTCCTAAAAAAGCATAATTATATTCCACTTCTGTACAACAGACCTATTTTTTTATTGTGACAACACTACATGTGGCTTTTACAGTGGACAGCTGAAACTGTGAAGTTCTTACATACAGACCACTGTGCAAATCTTTCAAAATGAAGTCTTCTCTCCACTGCTCTTTCAGAAACATTCTCGTGAAGTCTTTCAAAGTAAAACGAATATCACCTGTCTCCTTGTTCTCTGCTAATATCGGCCTTCCAATTGGCTTTTCATTTGAAATAATGACTTATTCTAGATGATGATATTTTCCTACCATCCATTTGAAGGTGTAACACGTGTTTGTTTCACAAGGGGTTGTTTTGCTTTAAGATTTTTCATAGTTTGTTGACGACTGTTATGATGCTAAAAAAAAACTTGGTTTCATTTGATATATATATGGGAGACAACTCAAGATTACAATTCAATATCAACCATTCCGGTAGCATACTTGAGCGATGTTTTGACAATGCCGACAACATTTATTTAAATGAATGTTTGTAATGCTTAGTGACACTACAAAACATGAAAACCATATGGCGCGGCACTGTATATCAAAACAAACTTTTGTCATTAAAACTTGAATTAAAATCGCGGTTGTTTTTAGGGATATAATGTAGATATTCGAAGGATCGTAAACTTCCAACATTTATTTTCTATGTTCCCAGAGACGACTCATTCAGGCTTTATCACCAAAATGATTGTCATTCATTTCTGATGTGTTTATTAAATGCTCTGAAGGATACACAGACTGATAAACGAGGTAAGAAAAACCATTGTTTAAAGTTTCATATTCATAAACAAGCGATATCAGAACACATATAAAGTGCATACAGTTTTTGTGTAACTGCCAATATGCTTTATTTGTCCATAGCTTGTCTCTTTGACATCAGAATATTCTTCCGTTCAGATTGTTTTTTTTAGTTCATAATATCGCAACGACAACTTGAGCATAAACTACTAGGAACGTCTTTCCTTTTGCAATCTAGGGGAAATGTAGTGCTTGCATACCAATTATAAGGTGAAAAACTGATAAACTTATGAACAATTTTCAGGATGTGTTGCAGCTCCGTCTTCGCTTTTTGAAGGACGCATGTGCAACGCATTTCGATACAAGCCATGTAATCACGTAAGTTGATTAGTATTAATGCGACATATTGTCTATATATATATATATATATATATATAACAAACAAAAAAAGACAAGAGTATCTTAGTACCTCCTTAGCGATTTCACCTCTTTAAAGGTTCATCAGGGAAACTGTTTATTTATGTTGACAGGACAACAACACAACACAGAAAGTGATGACGTTGCGTCATCTATCAAAGGTTTAACGCATTAAGTTTATCTACTATCAGACGATTACATAGAGTGTTACAGGTTTGGGATAATAGTTCATAACAGAAAGTAAATATCTTATTTGATCATACGTGCATTGTGTTTATCGATTTCTATGCCCCCGCCATAAAATGAGGGGCATATAGTGTTACCCATGCATGTCCGCCCGTCCCGTCCCGCCCCGATTCAATGCAAACACCCGCCCCGTCGTGTCCCGTCCGATTAAATGTAAACACTTAGCAACTTCATTCTTTGACAGATTTGGTCAAACTTTATACAAAGGTACAACCCTCCATAAAATGGGGGAGGGGGGGGGAGCATATAGTGTTGCCCATGTCCGTCCCGCCCCGTCCCGTTCCGTCGCGTCCCGTACCGAGTCAATGTAAACACTTAGACACTTCAATCTTTTACAGATTTTGACAAACTGTTGCTATATATAGAAAATCATCAACTGATTTAATTTAAACACTTAGCAACTTCATTCAACTTCATTCAACTTCATTCTTTCACGGATTTTGGTCAAACTTTATACAAAGGTCAAATATGGGTATACCTCTGACATCCTTTTGTTTCAGGGTTCCAAAGTCAAGGCCAAGGTCACTGTTGCTATATATAGAAAATCATCAACTGATTCAATTTTAAGACTTAGCAACTTCATTCTTTCATGGATTTTGGTCAAACTTTATGCAAAGGTCAAGTATGAGTATACTTCGGACATTGTTATGTTTCAGGGTTCCACGGTCAAGGCCAAGGTCACTGTTGTTATACATAGAAAATCATCAACTGATTCAATATAAACACTTAGCAACTTCATTCAATATGTTATGGAGATGGTAATAACATACAGAAAAAACATATGAATATTAAAATCAGCTTATCAACTTTAAGTGTAATACCTTGTTTGTGTGCATGTTTCAGGGTATCAAGATCAAAGTGTTTGTAACTTTTTATAGAACACCGAAACTAATTTCACAAGGCAGCGGGGGCATTTATGTATTACAGACATTTTCTAGGTTTTTTTAATACTATTTATTTACATGAGAAGTCAAGGGTCATATTGTTAACATCGAGAGCATATATGTGATATTCACACACAAACAAATCTTGCCTTTTTGATAATCATTGTTTACCACAAAGTTGTCAAATGATATCTTCAGTTATTTCAACCTAAATATAAGTTCTATTTCACTATTGAGATGATAGTGTTAGGTATATATAACATCATTCAATTAACTGCTGTAAATAATAGATATGAGATATAATACGTGTTTGTAGCGAACACATATATTTGTGAAAATTATGCTTTGAAAAAACGAATTCTCCTTTTTGGGATGTATATTGAACAGAAGTCAAACAAAAGTTGCCAGAGCTGGACCACCAACTCTTTAAATAGAGCACTTTTGATTCATTGGCTACTAAGCTACAGGCCAATTGCATAATTAGACAACCTGCTCTCTTTTACATAGCTGTCAATAAATGACCAGTCACCTGCTGCACAAGCTATACTATATCTATATAGTTACATAACAGCTTTATCGATCATTTTTAAAACTTTAAAACAATAAGCATATTTCACTTAAAAACTCCATGCACAAATTCGCACCAACATGCCAATTTCTACAAATGCAGAGATGTATACACCTCATAGTTTTGAAGAACATCTTGCTGCAAACATGAAAGTTTGACGCTCACGACAACATAAGGCGCTCGACTACGCTAACAATCAGTTTGTCCTGGTTTGTCTTTGACTAGTGTTACATATGGCTCCATTATTTGACTATTTTAGCAGCTGTGGTTTTGTTGTAGTTGTCACTGCCTCTATACTTGCGATGTGGTGCCGTAGATAGTGACTAACATCCACTATCATGAAACCCCATATAGTACCTATTTCACTTACGTAGTGTTAAGTATAGTTATTTACGTTATAAATATTTATCTATAAAAATGATTATTTTTTCTACAGGGTAAAAACATACAATAGCAAAAATCATTAGTGTAAGTAGCGTTGATCTGATGTTGAACATTTACATATACGTGACTTGAGCGTTAATTTTGTATGCCCACATAACATTACTATTTCAGAGTGACGGAGGAACCATTGAGGACTCCCAGATATTCTTCAGCCTAGTGATTCCAGTGCCACAACAAGTGAAGGTAATTGGTCCTCATCAAAAAGCATAATGTAGAAACTATATTTATGTTACCCTTGTCACTAAGGCGACCTCTTGTGTTTTCTTTGTACATGTATGTCCTTCACCATTTAGATTTTCGACTTCTCAGAAACTGTCAGATTTTATAAATCTTTATGATAAACATCAGCCTATGGGGTGTGTGTGTGTGTGTGTGTGTGTGTGTGTGTGGGGGGGGGGGGGGGGGAGTGGTCATGATTATATACTCAAAAAGGAACCTTCAGAAAACATCCCATCAGAAACTTTCTGCTGAATTTCAATCCTCTTTCTCAAAATACTCCTTAGATAATGTCACAATTTACACTAAAATTGGCTGACCTCAAGGGGGTTAAGGGGCGGGGGTATTAGGTGTCAGAAAGTGCAAAAACTGCACCAAGGGATGAAGATAGGGGAGGAGGTTCATAAGAAATAACTTCGTACAAAAACTTCAAACAAACAACATGTATGGGCATCTTTAGTTGTTTAATTCAGTTAGCCACTTATAAGGTCCAACGGCTTCTCGTTAAACAGAAAAATGTTGAATTTGAAAAGCATCAGAGAGAATTGATAACAATAACGGATGTCAACCTTTCTTAGACATTTAAACTGAGAGACAATCTTTTCATAGCATCATCGACAAAATTATTTTCGTGCACCAAGATGCTACTGTAAATTGTCCTTTTCCAGCAGCTATCCTAATGGATTGCTGAAACAGTCTTCATTTATTTTTAAACAATTATGAAACAAGTTTCATCAACTTTCATTAAGCACTCTTGAAGTCCCGGATCATTGCCCGTAGAGGTCTTTATATGGGAGGAAACCGGAGTACCCGGAGAAAACCAATTTTTGTTAGGCAGATGACCCCATACCTTTTTATTTTCAGTCTGGTTATCAAATCCTGATCTCCTTGGTGAAAAACGAGTGCTCTATCCACTGTGCCACCCTACCACCCAATAGCATTCATCTCAAAATCAGTCTCTCTTTCAGGAGAGTTTAAATTGGTTAGTCATAGCTAGGGAATTATTGAAACTTTCAAAGTAATTTTCAATTGAACATGAAGGTATCTTCACATGTCTGTTTTTCTTACTGATACTTACAAGACGATTTTTAACACACTTGTATGTATTTATTGACAGTCATTGACTTCAGCTTTTACATAAACAGATGTTATGTATGACCACATTTTCCAATCGGCATTATCTCAAAAGCATCAATTACCTCCTGAAATCCTTTGATATTTCATGGTGGTAAGGCACTGTTTAATATGCTACTCAAAAAACATTTTTGCGGAGCATATAGTTACCGCTCTGTTCATCCAGGGCCATAACTTCAGACTTGCTGAAGTTAGCCCAATGAAATTGTATTAATATATGTAGGATGGCAAGGCAATGTGTAACATGTACGTACCGCTATTTGGTCCCTACGCCTAAGGTTGAGGTCACATTGAGGTCAAAAATCGAATTCGTTGTTCTGACTAAAACATCTAACTTGCTGAAAATAACTCAATGACATATTAGGAATACATGCAAGATGGCAAGGCGGTTTGTCGCGTACTACTGTTGGGTCTGTATGCTAAAGGTCAAAGGTCAAATATATTGTCATTAGTTTTGACAAGCTATCTCAAGGTGTGTCGTGTAACACTTTTGGGTCTGACTGCTCAAGGTCAATGTCAAATTGATATAAGGGGTCAAATTCATCGTCAAGGCTGTAACTTATGACTTATTCAAGATGGCGCAATAACATTTTAGGGAAATATGCAAGGCAGTGTGTCCTATACAACTATAGGGTCCGTTTCCCAAAGGTAAAGGTCACATTTAGGTCAACGGTCAAATTCATTGTCCATGTCATAGCATCTGACTCCTTGAAAATATCTAAACAATATACATATAGTACATGTATGATGGACAGGCGATATGCCCTAAACCATAGTGGGTCTGTAAACCCAAGGACATAGTACAGTGCAATATATAAATCAAAGATCAAATTGATTTTCGGTTGATAGCTTGTGGCATGCTGAAGATAATTCAATGAAATTTTAGTGATAAATGTTGTATTGCCAGTCAGTGTGGCATAAGTCTTTAAGGTCTATACACCCAAGGTCAAGGCGACATTGAGGTCAAAAGTCCAATTCACTTTCTCACTCTTTCTTGTGCATAATTCCTGACTTGCTGAAGATAGCTCAATGAAATTTTATAGAAGTATGTAGAATAGCAAGGCATTGCATACCAATTGGGTTCGTGTGTCCAAAGTCAGATTCTCATTAAGCTCAATGTCAAATGATCAAATGTTTGATTGTAACACAAGTTACCTTTGCTCCTGTCCCGATGATCTTTTTGGGGAGCATAATCCATCAGTTTTACTGATTTTCTTGTTTTATACTGAAGAGAAATACATTCAGTGGTTACAGAAGTGTCAAATCCCTGTCAATTCCTGATCAACATTCAGTTTCAGCATTTTCAATATGTTTTCATTATGCTGAAACTGTACAGAAATATGAGTAAGATAATTCCATTATAAGTTTATCGAAGGTCGTTAACGTATGAGATGATATATTATATAAAAGAAAAGGGTAAATAAATCTTATATGAGAGTTTATTACAGTGAAGAAACAAACCTTGAGAAACTGTATGGAGTAAACATATGTATGAAATTGTTTTAAATTAATATTATCAGGAGCGATGGACTATTGAAAAGGGTCTTGCGAAAATGATGGAGGAGGAATTGTTTGACAAAAATGTTCTTTCCTGCAGACAGTGTGAGACAACTGGCAAAGGTTAGTTGATCACATCAAATCACTTTCGGGTCATCATAAGCAAACTATTATTTTTACATGAATAAATGGATAAATAAGTAATTAAAAACAATTCTCACTCTTCTTGGCCTTGATAGAAACACACATAGGATTTTAAAGCTAAACCCATATGCTCGGACAATTGACCCAGTACCTTTTCATGTCCGATTTGCAATTGATCTTTAGACAAAAACCAACCACCTTACCCACCTTAAGTCAATAAGAACGAAAAAAAAATCCATTCATGATTCGTGTTTATATAAAAAAATCTTTATCCTTTTTTTATCAAAAGTAAAAGTCACAACTGTTTTATAACCTTTAGGTTCAAAAGACACTTGCACCAGCAAAACACTTGACATTGTCAAGGCACCAAAGAGGTTGATGTTGCATATTGGACGTTTCAAACAGGTAATTATGATTCAACAATAATGCAAAAGTAAGAATGATGTGGATTCATGCAAATATAAATTAAAATGGAAACACAATTTATGCTTAATATTTGTTAACAACTATTACTTATTTCAGGATGAAGATTACTTTCAAGGAAGAATATACAGAAAAAACAATGACCCAGTTGTTTTTAAGGAGATCTTGTTGCTACCAGTGGTTGAAAATGGAAAGGTTGGCTCAGTTTTGGAAATTATAAACACAGAAGCAATCGTAAAGGGGTTTTCTGGGTTTTAAGAATCCCCAGCCCCAGCCAGGAAAGAATCATGTCCCCCTACGTTTTTCCCACTTTAACCTTCCTCACGCAAAGGAATTTGGAAACCCTAAGTCTCTTGACCCACTACTAAAACAGAGCAACAAAATATCATGCGAAGAATCCCTCAATAAGTATATGAAGTAATAATAATGGAATAATTGATCAATATATTACAAAATTGCACATTATATAAGCCCATTATTCTAGTGTTGTGAAAACCATAATTAAACTCAATTACTACAAGAGGCCTCTCAGGGTCTGTATTGCTCAACTGGACAAGTAAGCAGTCATGTCAAAATATTTAAATACACCATTGCAAATATTTCCTAATTTCAACTTGTCCAAAAGATCCTTTAAAGTTAATTTGGTTGAGATATGAGCAAAATCAATTTGTGCCTAGCCCCCAGGGGAGCTCCATTCTTCCATTACACAACAGTTGATTCCCTGGTCAACGTTACCAGGATACTTCATAGGAAATATGGTTATGATTGGCTTATATAGGCATATATTATAGGAAGGGATTTTCAACTGTCTCCTTGTTATGACCCAGATACTTATTCTCCACAGCAAGGCCAGACTTGATTATCCTGGGATAATTCTGGACGTATGATTGTGTTTGTCCCCTAATACCCAGCCAGTACATATTAGGCTATATGTTTGGGATCTAAACCATTTCCATGTTGTGCATGGCTATGGAAATAAATCGGCAACGGTCAAACATTCAATTAATACAACATTAAGGACTATTGGCCAAAGGATGCTCCAGATCAAATTTAGTTAAAATCCCCTCAATTGTAAGGAAAGAGGAAGGTTTGAAATATATACCTCTGTTTCAAACGTACCTGTTGCAGGGCCATGTCCCTCTGAAACATGTTCAATACCAAACTTAATAAAATTCTACTTGTCCTTTCTTGACTTATAAATTTTGAAAAGAAAAATTGACAGATGGACACTGTCAATATGTGATTTGAAAATGCAATTAAAAATGCACACCTACTTTTGTTAATGATATCAATCTATTACTATATACTGTACATGTATACATATTATTATACATGTATTTATGTTTAATATAGAAAAGGTACTTGAACATGACAGTTAAGATCTTATAGATGGTGTTCATTGTAAAACAAATAAACTGCATTCATGTTTACAGGAAAGAAAGAAGAGTTACGAGTTGTATGGAATAGTGTTACACATGGGAGGCCTTGAGGGCGGTCATTACTACTCCATGGTGAAGAAGAAGGGTACAACACAATGGTATACTTGCAGTGACTCGTCTATCTATTCAACAAAATTAGAAGATATCTTTCATGATTATTCCGAAGTGTATTCTAAGGCATACCTATTGTTTTACAAAGAAATTTAAAATGCAGCATACATCTTGCTATGAGACATGAGGGTGGTCTTTAAACAGTTATCAGGATATGAATACTGACCTTGCTAAACTTTTACAGCAGTTATGCTGTTTTGTCTAGTAGTAATCGAAAATATATTGGTTCTACTTCCAGGATTAATGGATATATGTTTCTTGATATGTATACCTGCAAAACACAATAGTTCATTGCAGTTTACACCGTTGTAAGCGTCCGGTCGCTTCTAATGGTGCCATGGTGTTGCATACTTTTTGAATGTCAGAATTCAGAGAGCTTTGTAGATTCATGTTCCATGTACATGTATAAGCCATTGAAAACATTCATACACTTGCTCAGTTGGTGATTTGCATACCAGATTTTCCCCCTTACAAAGAAAGTATGTGAATTATTTTTTAAATCTCATTCTAAACAGAGAAACTCCTATGTAAATAAAATGCAGATGAGAAGTTATTTTTTTGTGCATCTTGTACTTGAAACATAACATCAAATGAAATTTGTCCATGCATTCACCATATGACTAAAATCAAATACAGTTTACATAACTTGCTGATCTTACTTTTGTATCATTATTTTGTTACAAACTAGGTCTCATTGCCCGTAACATGTAGAATGTTTAACAGTATTTGAGTATTGGACTGGTTTAATTATGTACTTTGCTTTACCATGTAGTATATGACTTTTAATGAACAGTATATACATATATTAGATAGTATGCATTACTATGTTCACCTCTGCATCACATTTAATGCACCCGTTGATGTGTATTGGTACGTTTTATAAGTGTTTTTAAAAAAATGTATATAAGATGTAATATAACAATCTATATGAAGCTGAAATTGTTGTATATGTTGTACATAATGTTGTAGATATCTTACAACTTTTTTCCAGAATCCTTCTTTGTGTATAAGTTATGTTTTTGCTTTATGAAACATGTATTTATACATTTTAATTTTGCCTTAATGAAGAGATAAGTCAGTTCATTCATATATCTGAATTTTTTTTCATAGAAAGCATCATTTTGGATATCATAATTTTTGCACAACAGAACATATATGACAATAGCTAACTTGGAGAAAGATGGTCACTTTTGTATTAATTGATTTGGAGTCCCTGCTCCAGGAATTTTCTGTAAACAATAATAAGCAGTTCCTTGTGAAATGTGTGAGGTACATGGAGTAACTATAACAGTAACTGTAACACTGTCAAAATGTTCCTTATAATTCTTTTGATTTTCTGTGAATGAAGCAATAGAATTATTAAATACAGGTGAAGATTGATTGTGGAAATAAATGCAATTACTTTGTTATAATCTGTTTAAAATGTTCTATATGATCAGTGAAAGTTTAATGATGTAAATAATTGAGCGAGTTTTGTAAAGTCATTGCTTTTGCTCATGTATTTGGTCGTGTATCTTCAGACAATAGGAAGTGTAAATACAATGTGTGCTAATTTGTCTATTTATATGACAGTAAGTGACGTTTTTTTGTACAAAACTGGAATGTTTAGCTTACTGAGTCAACTTAAGCTTGCATGGTTTTACATAAAGTTTACTGATACATATCCTTTCAAATACAAAAAAAACCCAAAACGTTTGGATATTGTAAATATTGTAAATTAAGAAAAGTAATGACTGGACTGAAAGTTTTATCTCACCACCTCAGTGAGAACATGTAATTTTAGGCTTTGGAAGATAACCTCCATTGCATTAATGAATGTAGCAAGTTTTCTGATGTTAGATTGTGTTCCTTTTATTCCAAGAAGATATTATCATTATCCAAATAGGGTAAATTTCTATTTTTCCTTCAGAAAATGTGATTGTTTTAAAGAAATTTAACAAAGTTTGTTTTTATGGTTTTTATGAAATGAGAAAAGAGGACCTGTTTAACAACTACTGGGTAAACATGTCAGATGAAGTTTGATTTTTTGTTCCTGGTCAAATGGCCACTGACGCAGGTTTATTCTGAAAAATACCCCTCAAAAGTTCAGAAACAGTGAAAGATGTCATGCTCTAACTGATGCTGTGGATACTAATTCATACATACAAAAAATGTAGTGTCTTAATGTCCATGAGTTCATGAATGTACCCTTTGTAACTCAACTATTCAATTAAATATATTTACATTTTCTCTGCATCCTTCTATTGTAATGCATTGCGAAGGCAAATGTTTTTATGAGACTATCACATCATTTGCTATTGTAACGTCATCAATCTCTATTGTGACGTCATCAATTTCATTGTTGTCAACACTTGATTTGCTGTTCAAAATAACTAAATAAAGCATATCTATCAGGCTTTATTAAGTTTGTCATCGTTAGCAAAGTGTGTTATTATAAAAAGACCATAACCACATTTGCTTAAACATTCATTGCTTAAGTATTTGTGCTTGTTACCGTATGATGCACAAAGGCACCTTTGCCTATTGATGTAACCAATTATTGGTAGCTGAAGATATTATATTTCACAAACACAGATTTATAATATATTTCTGTTCAGAATTACTGTTATTTGATAAATACCATCGATGAGAAAAGCAAATGTATATTAGTTTAGTTACGTACAATTTCAATATAACAATACTTCATTCCTGCAATTTTTTGTCAATATTATGATGGACCTTTTATCACCTGTTGAATCTTGTTATAGTATTACAAGCAATTTTCAGACTATGAAATACAACGTTCTGTATTGCACATGTGCAATACATTGCACATGTGCAATACAGAATGTTGTATTTACCTACTAGCCGGAACTACTTTTTATGGGAATCCCCTTGTCATGGGGAACTGAAAAATATCAAAGTTTATAAAATCTTTGTATCGATCTCTACCAAATACGGAAGGTATATATGTGATAAAAGCAAGACCACACACTTGCGAATCAGAAAGCACTCATTTATTGCGCGGAAGTATATATTCACTCGTGCGCAGATGTATCGCACTTGCACTTACAAATGTGCGATAAATGGAACATTGTGTCACAGTGCTTGTTGAAAAATATTTGTAGTAAGTTTCCAAATGACTTCATCTCTACAATAAAATTGTGATGTTAGTGATGGTGGATGAATATTTTTTGACGTATACATAGCTATATAATTTATGTAAGATAGAGTTTTCATGTGGTGGAAAGCCATGTGAGATGAATTCACAGTACAAAGAAAATGAAATGATGTATGTCATGCCACAGCAAGTTTAACATCATTTTAATCTATTTTACTGAATTTTATTTTCCAGTTGAAGTTTTTTTTTACATTTATGGGGGTCCTATTTATAATATAATTTGAAGCTTTTACTTCCAGAGTAAACAAAACTGTAAAGCGCTCTTTCCGATGGTAAAGATAATTTTAAAATTTGTTCAGTATTGAGGAAGAGATTTTGCTGCAAGATGGCAGCTACATATCTTTGTAAGAAAATAACTCTATCATATATAAATTATGTAGGATAGAAATGGAGGCTTGTATAATATAATGAGTTATTTTTTGTTGCTTATATGACTTTTTATAGTCTGTTTCATGTGACAAATTTATCATTGATGTTTGTGGTTGGTGTTCTTTTTTGTTTTAATCTAATTCTGTATAGTGATATCAAAAGAAACAAGATAGCAAGGAGTGGAAATAATTACTCTCAATCAGTAGGAAGTAAAGGGGTGACACTATATTGTTTGATTTTTAATACCAAGGTATTTGTGTGATGTGTGAAATATTTTTTATTTATTGTAACAGTTACCTTGACCTCTGACCTTTAAATGTAAAACTAAAGCAATCCAAAACAAGCGTTGTTGGTAAGGAAGCCCACTTGAGCTATTGCATAGAAATCAATTTTCTACTGACAGTAACCTATACCTTTGACCTTTAGACCTTCAAGTAATTCTATAAAGTAAGCAATTTTTCGAAAGGAATATGTGTATGAAGTTTGAAAGCTATAGGCCAAAGGGACTTGAGTCATCTTGTATGATACAAGTGAACTTTGCCTTGAATTGGACGAAAAAGCAATCCCAACCAATTGCTTTCCATAGAAGTGAATGTATGGTGTTTGAGGTTTATCAGCCAAATGGAAATTGATCCATTGCACTGAAGCAAATTTCCTATTCATAATACCTGTACCCTTGAGGTTTGACTTTTAGACCTGAAAGCAATCCCAAGCATTTTCCATATGGAATAACTGTAAGTTTGATTAGCTCACCAGAACTCAAGCTATTGCGTGGAAACTGATTTTCTATTTTTAAGTATTTGAGACCGTTATCATTGAACCTGAAAATAATTTCACGGAGGCACATTTTGATTGGAACAATGTGTGAAGCTTGAGTTTGGTCAGTCAATATGGACTCAAGTTATTGTGTAAAAGCAGAGGTGGGATGGATAGATACATGCATAGAAGAGCTCAGTTACAATATGATTGAAGTTATAATTATTATAACGAAGTGTAACAACAAGTATTCAAATCATTGCTAAGTCGGGATGACTTATAAATTCAACACCAGTGATTCTAATTAGGGTCTCCCCTAGCTATTAAACTGTGCATTTGTCTGTCACATTTCTGAAATACTCCTGGTGTTCTGTAAATGTGGTACATTTTGTATATGGGTTAAAAAAAATCATAAAGTAAAGTCAAAGGGTCACTGTTGCTAGAACAGAAAAGTAGTACAGTACATGGATGCCGTCAAAAATAAATTTCATTGCACTTTTGTGGTAAACAGTATTTCGTTGATATCATACATGAGTAATGCGGTATCTGAAAATCCAAGATGGCCACAGGTCAAGGATACATATAACATCTACATTTTTTTTTTTTAAAGACAACAATAATGTTTTATTACATAACTTTGTGTAGAAGCAATGTAGTTAACTTTGATAAATTGTATGTAATTAAATTATAACTTGTTTATGATGTCAATTTAACAGAATTGACATTGACATATTTAAAGGTTTATTTGTATTGTACATTATCGTTTATACAGAAGTGTAACATTAAAAGGAAAGCTGATTTTAAGTCATACTAAGAAAATGGAATATGCATTTCAATCACCATTGTTCAACAGCAACTTTATACCAGGAAATCTCTACATTGAATTAAAATCTGGTTAAAATTGATTTATCTGTAAAAGGCTAGTTTTAATAGGGCAAATGTTTACTGGTTTACAACACCTTACCATTATTTGAAAATTTCAAGTTTGACATTGGCTTTGAAAAAATAATTTTAGAGTTAAATATTTTGACTGAGACTAACCCACAAATAAATGTAACATTCAAAATAAATATATTGCACTTCTTATACTGTGTTATGAATATTTTGTTTTCAAGTTTGTAAGTGGCAAAAGATGAAGTAAACTTTATATAACAGGAAAAAAACTATCCCAGTCAATGAGTGCAAAAATATAAGCTGCAACAAGAACTATCTCCCTAGGTGCAGGAAGGACACTAAGGACATGGATAAATTTGTTTCTTTATGCTCATTAATTAAATATATGGTTATCAGGTCTATAGGAGTGAGGTACATGTAGGTACCTGTAGTCATCTCTTCATAGCCAGGTAATAATCAAGTCAGCCCAAAGGGATGATACTGAATCTCCAAGCCACTCCTGGAAGCCAGAGCAAATTCATCTCTTTAGTTAAGCCTAGCAATTGTGTATGCTTATAGGAAAGGAAGGTGAACTATCTTCAATAAGATGGATCAGTTTGTTCACTAAAGCTTGACAAAGGGACAAGTCAGTCTTGACTCTTTAATACGTACATTATTTGTGTATGAAGTAAAACACTCTGATATTATGAATGTACATTTTTTCCATGTTATGACCAAGGGAGTATAGGTAAAGGTAATTTTATTTCACAAACTTTGTCAGGCTAAAGCCGATGTCAGGAGTCTAAGCCTTTTAGTTCTTCAGAAGATATTTGAACTTTTCAACATATTTGAACCCTGTGAACTTGAAAGAAGGTCAAGGCTACTTTGATACACAAACATTGTAAAAGCTCTTACCCAGAAAGCTACCAGCAGGATATCATGGCATTTTAGTTCTTCAGAAGTTGTTTGAAATTTTTGCCACATTTGACCTCTGTGACCTTAAAAGTAGGTCAAAGTCAACTTTTTGCTAACTTTCTAGGGCTTCAACCAAGGAAACTACCAACCAAATATCATGATTCTAGGTCTTTTGATTCGTTTTATGGAAAATTGACAACAGAAACTGGCCACAGCATTTAATTGGACCAGGGGAGCTAAAAAGCATTTTTCAGGAACATCTTGTCCAGGCTATAACTTTTAAACCGTTAAAGATATCTTGAAGAAACCTGCAGTATAACTGCATCACCTACAAATAATGTGCAATGCAGTGTCATGAGGTTACAGTGACCTTTACCTTAAGGTCAAAGGTTTAAAAAGTCTGCTAATATCAAACATTTAAAGGTGTATGCGAAAGTAATGCCAACAGTCCCTCACTGTGTCTAATTTTGCTTGAACTTAGTATACAAGTATATGATGGCAATGTAAACTCTATTCATGCATCACTTGCGACAATGGGGTCAGTTTTGAGGATCTCCCATGTAAACCTAAAGCAGCACTTGTTTTTAAACTTTCTCTAAGTGTACAAAAAAATAAAACAACAAAAAAAGATATTGTAGATCACATTGCAATTTTATTAGATTGAATACCACATTGGCATGACATTGCACTAAGGTTGAGGCAAATGTCTCACAAACTCAGTTTTATACAGATTGGCATACATGTACCTCCAAACTCATTTATCTTAGCACACAGGTAATGACTAGTGAGAATGTTATATGATTTAATCATTGACTACGAGCTGAAATTATATTTCATGATATATTTATTGAAAGTTTAAACATTTTGTAATTATAAAGGAAGCAAAGTCTTTATTTTTTAAATGTTCCAGTTTGTCATAAAAAAAGTTTTTTGACCTAAAGGCAAACAAGCCATTCAGATTGATATGTCTCGCCTATGCTCGCTTTGACCATCAATGCAAATATCGGAGAAATTAACTTAAACGCAAAAACTTAATGTTGGTGGAGATGCTGACAAAGTCAGTGGACCATGAAAGGTAGGCCGCATCCAGCATTTGATGCATGGGTTGAGATGTATCTATGGTCCAAGTTTGGTTGGTCTAGCACTTATACTTTCAGTGAAACTAACTAAAACGCAAAAAGTTAATGTTGACTCTGCCGTCACTGGAAAAGCAACACCTTAGTCTCGCTTCCACTTCGTGGTACACAAGCTTTTAATTTCAAAAGCGGTGAAATGGGATCTTTCACCAAAATTTTATCAGGTGTATAGCACTAAATTTTACCATACTATGGTGCAAATGTTACCCATGGTAGCAGTGTACAGTAGCATACGGTGGCCATGTTTTGATATTTTTATACAATGAATAACCCCTGTAATATTACATGAATCAAAATTTAAGAAAAATATCAGCACTAAAATTGGCATGTACATGATGAAGTGGACTATGTGAGCTTCATAATTTAAAAAAAAAAAAACGCCAAGAGGCCCAAGAGGGCCTGTATCGCTCACCTGAATATTTAAGCAGTCATAGCAAGTTATTCTCATTAAATATTATATTGCACTAAAAATATTTCCCTCGCAAACTTTGTTGGCTCCATCTGTTGAAACTACCAGCAAAATATTATTATAAGATTCTATGCTTTTTGATTCTTCTTCA